TATGCTCCTCTTCTTTTTATGCTCAGCTACTAAAATTTACCTTAGTTGTCAAATTCCATATTAATATTCAATACTAAGTGGATTTAAACATGCATAGTAAAGAGATTAAATGAAACTATCGTTACACTAACAACAGATGCATCTTGGGTGCCGCCTGTCAGGAATTTTGGCCAGCCAATCAGGTACTGAGGTATAACGCACTAAACTGTAGATAATTCCGTGTGGTACGGGGTTGTACCGCACATTTTGAATGGCTGCATCTGTATACGTAAAAAGGCATTGGTTTTTTGTAGCACAAGGCTGAGCAGGAAATATGTTAATAAGCTGCTAGTACAGTACATTATTCTGAGATCAATTTAGGATGGGATGGATGTCTCTACCATTGCTTAAAAGGACATGGTTAGCATGGCTGCCAAAAAGGAATAGCAGGGTTGGATGATCTGTGATGCTCTCCCTTTTATTCCCACTGTGCTGTGATATAGACAGTTATATAAACCTTATATAGGGATTATTGGTGGGTTTTACCAGACAAGTACCATATGGATGTTTGAACAGATATACACTGTCAGCTGTCTGTTCCTAAAATTAAGCACATTGATCCAAAATGCCAGCCCACTTGCCCATCTCAGCTTTACACTGGATAGATATACAATGTTTCAACCAAACAGTCCCAAATTTTACAAAAATTAATATGATCTGGATCTTGGATTTAGTTCATGCCTAAATGTGTACTAATGTGTCAGCCTTTACTCCACGATATATATATACTGTATATATGTCCATTAAAGCAATTTGCATGGTGCTTATCTGTAGTGAGTGGTTTGGTGGTGAAGTGGTTAACATTACTGCTTTGCAGTGCTGGGTCCCTACGGTCAATTCAAGACCTGGGGTGCTGTCTGTATGGAGTTTGAATGTCTTCTCCCTGTTCATGTGGGGTTTCTCCCACAGCCCAGTCAAATGGCTTCTGGGAGAATTAACCATGGTGTGAATGTGTGTGTTTTATGCTTTATGCCTGTTGCATACCCTTTTTATGAAACAGAAATCTAAGCCAGTGTGACATCAGTGAGAATATAGGTTCAGTCAGTAGGGTCAGACTGGTGTTATTTAATTATACTGAGCTGATATGCTTATATACAGTAGGAAGCAGTCACAGAGACTATAGACTAGTAGTGCAAATAATGTCTTGCATAAGGTGCTCTTAGTGCAGCAAAGAGAGACTCAGACAGACTAGATTAACACTATATACAGTATATAGAAGAGACAGGCTCTGCTATGTACAGTAAATAGTAGTAAGAATAAAAACAGCAGACTTTTAGCAATGTAAGCTTAAGGTAAGAGAAAGAGTAAGAGGGCTTTTTTTTAGCATTGGACTTATAAAATATAAAATAAAATAGCTCACAATACCTTAGCAGCAATAAAAGGTACAGTTTTAGTTCAGTTTAGAACCATATTATACTGATTATTTTTGTCCATGGAAGAGGAAAAATCATACCCAAAGAGTACAGACAATGGTTCACAAACCTGGAGGGGATTAGAAACTAAAGGGGTTATGAAAACATCAGATGTTTTCTATGGAAGGACTGATAGGTAATACATACAGTACAGTACTACATGAGTTAACAATTCTCATGGGTCCCTGTGATTCTTGGGGTGTGACCAAGGTTGGGTCCTGGAGTGTGTTTGTGACTCTTGGATGAGTTTAAGAGAGTTTGGGTTACAGTAGCCTCAGAGCTGTGAACCCAGCACAGGTCAACAATAACACCACAATTTCAATTTGTGTTGCCTGGAAACTATGAGTTACGGGCTATTAGTGGCCATTGTAAAGGTTATCATGATGCATACACCACTAACACGTAGGGCCCTGTACTAACCAGACTCCTTCTCTTTTTCTCTCAGTCCCTCTTTCTCTAAATGCTGTATTAAAGTACAGAAGTCAACACAGTCACTATATCCTTTAAAACTTCCCTAATGTTCATCTTTCTTACTTGCCCTCTTTGACTTTTTGTTCATAGGTGCCTTGTCCCTTGTATGCCCCTACATATCCACTGGTATCATGCAGCTCCTCTCGGCCAGCCTTGCCCTTTCCTTTGCCCGACTCATCGAAACGCTCCTTGTGAGAGCCAGTGAACTTGGAGGTGTCTGTGAGTCTGTCCAATGCACCCGTTTTAGCTGTTTTCTGAGGGAAAGATAGAGAGAAACAGGATATGGTAGGCTGTCAGTAATAAAAGTGATCATGCTACACAAGTGTTACAGTGAGGGAAATAAAGTAGGAAATAAAACAGCTAATGATAAGCAGGGCATGCTAAGAGGCTTCAGGTCAAAATTAAGATAATTTCACTTTATTGGCCATACACAATTCCTTGTATTAGGAATTTGTCTTTTTCATATATCCCAACTCACTCTCCATGAGACACACAGACAGGGAGAGAAGTTTGGGGTCAGAGCACAGGGTCAGCCATGTATACAGCACCCCTGGAGCAGTTGGGGTTAAGGGCCTTGCTCAGAGGCCCACCAGAGTAGGATTCCTCTGCCAGCCACAGGACACAAACCGGCAACCTTCCAGCCATAGGTGCAGATCTTTCGCTACAGAGCCACCTTATCACCCTGAGTGATTGTAGCATACAGTACAGGTGATCTGTAGTAAGCTTAGGAAATAGCTAAAACAAAAAAACATTACTATTTAAATTAAGCATTTACATTCAACAGAGCAGGCAATACCCAGTGTTTATTTTGAAAAAGACCAAGATCTGTATAGCAGGCCAGCCTTTAAGGGAATGGAGTAGCAGCTGTCAAAGGTCCTCTGATCATTGTTATTTTCACTGACCATTATTATTTCATTTGTGAGAGCTAGTGTCCTGATAATCACAGGGACTTAATGAGTGGTGTATGAGTTATAAACAGGACTTGCACAGTTAGTGGCAGTGAGGTTTGGAAACAGCTAGGGCCAGTTTTGGTGCTGAGACAAGGGGTTTCTCTGAGAGTCCTGTTGTTGTAAGTCTTTAAAAACTCTGCAATAAAGCCTCCTGCTCATCTCCCTGTTATGTGTTTCAACTTCGATTCAAGGGTAAAAAAAATTGCGTTTCAAATTACAACCATTGTTTCTCCATTTTATTTAGTCTCTTCAATGATTAAGAGACCTGTAGTAGTGTGAGTAATGGATGAGTTTGTAGAAAATTGTGAGGGAGGAGATATTCAATTGTTCTCAAAATCACCCAATGACATAAAACCCCCCTATAAGTGAAAAACCCTGCTCACTGTGGGGAATAGTGTAAATGAAAAGGCTTGACAAACCTCACTCTGCCACTCCCCTGGATAAAGTAAAATGCTTATTGATACAGACACCAAATTTCTGCTCTCCAGAAAAGTCTGCTAGGGATATTGATGTAGATCCTGATTTGAGAGACACACTGTGTCTAAGTTGCACTGACACTCAGTATCTTGGAACTCACAGTGCTTCTCATAGTGACAGGCTACACTCTCGCTGACACTTACAGTGACTCCTACATTGGCTGGCTCCTTGCCCATGATCAGCTTGTACATTTCTTGCAGGGCCTCCTCCTGACTTTTGCCCTTGAATCTCTTTGGCGCTAGCTCAGCCAAAGCCAGTGTGAACTGCTCAAAGGTGATGACCCGAGACTTGGACCTGCCAGGAGGGAAGCACAAAAGTAGTAACACCCGCTGTGAGGACACTAGTAAAATTCAGTATCTCACTGAATCATGGCCCTACCCCCAGTTATTTTCTAGTGTTCGGGTTAATAACTTAGCCTAGATGTGTCATGCCCACCGGTTGGATCTACAGTATATGTTATTCTAAAAATTCCACAGCTCCTTTCAGCAGAGTTAGCATCAAATAGAGGACTGGCCAATCTTACACTGACATTCAAACTTTCATTCAAACTTCTGGCTCCTGAAAGAGGACCAGATTTCCTGTTGCTTTAAACACCAGGATAACCCTGCAAGTTTAAAGGTCTTCCAATCCTTGTGGTTCTCAACAACGTGGTGAACCCACCTGGGACTCACAGTGTCTGTAACTGGCATGCCCGACTGCCTTTATTATGAGCATGGTGAATGTCTATACTGACCTACCGTAGATTAAAATGAATGAAAAGGAGGATCAAACATTTTTTGAAACAGTATCACAATATTAATAAATGTACTCTCTAGTCCTGCACAATTAAAAACAGTTTCTAAGGACTTCTATTTTAAAATCTAATTATACAGTATCTCTATATTTCTATAACCACATTTCAATTGTTATAGGAACTATTATAACTGTATTGCATGTAAATGTTGGGGTATGTAAATTTTTCCTATAAATATCAAGGTCAATTATATACCAAAGTGCTCACATACAAATTCAATTTTTTCTGTTTTTTTAATACTACTTCAAAGGTATCATTGAGAGTAAAAGGACCAAAGATTGTTGCACAGTCCTGATGCTCTAATGGAACTCAGACATGCATCTCTCTTTAGTTACATAGGGGAGGTGGATTCTTATGGGAAGGTAGTTCTTAATTTACATGGTTTTGATTTATATAACATAAATCAAGAATGGCAGTGCCTGTATCAATGTGGATCTCTACATATGTTATTGTAATCTGTTCCGTACTTTACTTTGGAGAAGACAATGTCAGCATCAGTGCTGGTGACGGTTTTGCCATCGATGACCTGGCAGTCCTTGCACAGCTTCACAAAGTTTTTCCCAGTCATCTCATTCCCTGTAGCTTTGGTATCTCCATGCACCGCAAACTTCTTAAAGGTGCTCTCTACTTCTGCCAGGTTCGCCATGCTCTCTGCCATTGTCTCTATGACTGCAGATAGAAAGACACATAGCAGCTATAAAACAAATGACTGGCTGAAACAAACAAAGTTGCACATATTCCACCCACAAACATAAAAATCTGTAATTGAAACACATTGCTTTTGAGGCTATTTTTAATTCTGATATTACAATTTCTAACCTTACCAATGTGGAAATACAGATATACAAGCAGTACTGTATGTCATAAGTAAATTAATTATAACCCCCAACTTGTAAAGATTTCTAACAAGAATATACCTGAATGGCCGGTATAGTTAGAGGCACATTAATTATTTTATCTCTGACATAGTTTTGTGAAAAGAATAATAATTCAGACATACTTGGTTAAAATATTTTTAACAGTGAAAATACACACACTACACACAACATAAACATACAACATACAAGTTTCTCTATGTACAGTAGACGTTTACAGAGGAGTGTCCCAGAGGCCTAAGTTTCTAACCACCCAGGAAAATCTGAGACTCATAACAAGTATTCAACAACTCTAAACACCTACAAATGCCAGAATAAGAGATAAGATACCTTCTAATCTAAATAATACAACCTGTGGTTAATTCTCTCTGCCGAAAAAACCCAGATGCCACAAAAAAAAAATGGGAACCTACTGTATCTCGTTATTCTAAAATGAACCCAAGAAGGAGAGGACATTTTTAACTAAGGGGTTTTTCACTCAGGAAATCCAAATTTCCTAAAAACTACAGAATAGCAAGCTTTGTCCTTTGTCATGGAAACAGCCAACAGCCAAAAACACTGAATCCATATTCTGCTGATCATGTCCTCATCCGTGTGCTGTGCTGACAGATTAGCATTTTCCTAGTGCTGGCAGAATTCCTGTGAAAATGATTGTTTTAGACCAGTTCTTCTTCTTCCTGGCCAGGTTGAATAGACTTGTCCTGGACTGAAAGTGTATTTACACCCACATAGACAACACTGACAGCTACAACTACAACTGCACTGTTACCTGCCCTAGCAAGGAGCCTGTTGACTCCATGATATCAGCCACCTAAGTTCCAGGAAGATAAAGTGTTGACATTTCACAGTTTCTGAGGCAAATCTCAGTTGCAGTGTTCCAGAGAATGGAGTCTCCAATAATCACCACTTCTCTTATGTCAGGAGATTCTTGATTCCTCTAGCTTAGGATTCTGAATCTGAAATTTCCCTTATTTAGTCTCTACAGAATACTGTGTATCTGTTAATGATAAGTTCAAGTTTATTGCCTTATGTATCTGATGTAACATTGTGGGAGAGGGTGGAACTGCAGCAAGCACTGGTAAAATGTCAACGCCCCTGCTGAGCGGTGTGAGGTTAGCAAGAACTAAAAATAACACAAAGGTGAAAATTATCAAACAAAACAGTTTGTTAATCAAGGAGAGCTGGCGTGGAGCATATGGTATTTAAACCCAACACTGATGGTGGGTAGGGAGTCTTGTCTGTATGGGGCTTGTTTTATTATGCTCTGGACATTTTTGGGTTTTGTAAGTTAAGAGAGGATAATTATTTTCCTTCTCTGTTTAGAGATCTGTTTAGAGCACTTGTGAAAATTAAAAAAACAACTTTCTTTTGTTTAATATTTTTACCTAACCCTTTCCTATAACAACATGATCATATCTGATGTACTTTCCAGGTTGTTGGTGCAGTTTAACTCCACAGATTAAGTAGTTTACAGAAAAGTAGTTTCAATTCTGCACTAATGACAATGGTTTGGCACATCATTTTGACAATGACACATCTAGACAACGTGAGGAACACATTAAAAAATGCAAAAAAAAAATGCTCTGAAATATTTGTGTAATTTAAGTTAAGGGATGTTAAAAGTCTATAATGCATAAGTAAGGCCTCGTTTAGAATACCATGTAATTTTTGTCACCATGCTACAGAAAAGATGTTGTTGCTATAAAATCTGTCCCGTAAAATACAACCAGATATTTTCCAAGACTCAAGGAATGTCCTGCATAGGGTGAAAAAACTTAACCTTTTTAGTCTTCAGCAGAGAAAACCATAGGAGGACTTCACGTGAGTATTCGTGTGAGGAACATATGGATCCTGAAGGCTTGTAAGGATCCTGAAAATCTTCCTAATGTTTCAGAGAGAAAATGTAAAGATTTTGTAAAGCTGCAGTGAGTAAACATTTTTGAGAGATTTTTTTGCAAACCCATAAGCAGCTGAAATGCCCTGTGATGATAGAGAGGGACTGAAGAAATCGGTTCGCAGTTCAGAAAAGAGCCAGACTTTTATTTTAACTTTACATTTGTGCCCATCATCGTAAACAACCAATATTTTAGTGTGACGATTGTAAACCCCTCCTCTTAAGGACGCTCCAGCCCTTCCTTGCTCAGTATTCATCCCCTGCACCTGTCTCCGGTTCCTGCCCCCCGTCCTATAAAAGCCAGGCGTTCCTGCCAATCTGGGCTTAGCTTTGGAAGATGGACGCCCGGAAGCCCGCCTACCCACCTACCCGCGAGTCCAGGAGCGACTCGGCGGCATCGGGACTGGAGCATCTGGTCCCATTACCCCCCTTTTATTTCCCTCACTCCTCCCCGGATCGTGTTGTCTGCATAGGGTTCTGAAAGAACACTTCGTTACATTTAGTTACTCTTAAATCATGGTGTCCTGTTAATGCAAAAGCCTTGAGTTCTTGTACTCAATTCCACATGCTTCTATTATTAAGGCAAACAGTAAGGATTCTAATATAAATAACAGATTTGTAATTAAATTTAATTAAAAAATGAATATATTTTCTTAGTGTTACTCAGGGCTTTTCGGGCCCATGTTTGTAGTGTCAAAGCACATTATTAAACCTACAATTAAGTTTTATTATAGATTTCTAATAATGTTTCTGTTACTTTGACAAAGCAAGTTGGGCCTCTGTGTAATGAGGTGCAATGTATGTCTGTACTTCTGTAATTCTGTATCAATGCAAGCATGTTGCCAATATCAGACTGTCGGATTTGTAACTAATACAAATACTGAAATACTGAAAAAGTGGAACATCAAGAACATAGCTGTTGTCACCCCCTTTGCTTTGAGTACACCCTTCCCTGCAGCTGCAGAGAATGGTTTAGTTAAATTAACTTACTTGCATGCCTATTCTCAGTTGTTTTATTAGCTCCAGGCTTCAGTGTATAGAAACCAGTATACCAATGCTATTAAGAGCATTGTGTCATGGTTTTTCTGTAAGATTACATTTTAAGAATGTTTTGATGCTTCTTCTGAATGCAAAAGATTCTATACAATTGCACACGCCCCTGTTTTATATCATTAAAGCAAATGTGCTGCTTTCACTTCTAATTGTACGCCATTTAGACTGTTACAATTTCTCTGTGGTAACTCTGTTCTACAACGCAAATTATATTGAGTAAATGCATGTAGGAACCAAAGATTTTAATTTGATTTTCATTCTTCTCATTTAGATTTTTACAAAGTATTTACATACAGAAATAAAATATATTTCCAATGAGAATTACTCAAAGACTCGCAGATAAAATTGCATCCCAAGGTGCTTCCACCAAGTACTGTACTGACTCAGAGGAAGTCAATTATTAGTTACTAACGTTTTGCTTTTTCTTCACGGGTTGCATGGTGTCAGAGTGGTTAGCATTGCTGACTCTTAGCGCTGAAGCCCTTGCTCCAGAACCTGGAGTGCTCTACTCAGCCTAGAGTTT